AGCGTGGCAGGTCTGCAAAAAAAAAGACCTGCCACTTGGGACGTGCGCGACACCATAATAAAAAAGGCAGGCACAGGGAGTGGCAGGTAGGAAAAAGGCGATTGGAAGGGAGGCGTGAAGAGAAGCATGAAGGGAGACAGACTGGGATAGAGGGAAGGACGGCCAAGAAAGACACAATATGAATGCTACACCACGGTATCCACCGCTACTGGTGCGATACAAGCAAGGGCGAGGAGCGGCGGACCGGCTCCAACAGACCTTTAGCAGTAGTCAGACATCTCTCGCACTTCTATCCTTCTGACCCATATCTAGCTGACCCGCTCAACATGCCCTGTACGCTGTATAGACACCCACTGCATTCCCATCCGTCGGCGTATTAATTGACGATAAAACACGCAAAGACACACACAAGCATGGGCACGACAAAAGCTTTGTGCTCAGATGCTATGGATGCACCGATCAATGGCGCACACACATGAGTGCGGGAAGACCCACATACCGGAGCACACATGTGGGAGCATATGTGTATAAGCTGGAATACTGCGTCGCGGCCATCAGCTCACCGTGCAATAGGGAGAGGGCGGCAATGCGGCTCAACGAAACATCAACACACCTGCCAGACACACACACAGAGCACTCAGACGAGTAGACCTGCATGGCAGAATCCTGCGTGACGGCCATCAGCCCACCTGGCAATAGAGAGGGCAGCAATGCGGCTCACCGAAACACCAACACACCTGCCAGGCAGACACAGGAGCGCTCAGACGACTAGATCTGTGTGCCGGAATCCTACATGACAGCAATCATCACCTTCAAGCCATCCGTGGTCGACGTGCTCTCTTCTGCCTAGCTCTGGTTAGACCATTGGCTCATGGAAGCTGACCTTTTGCAGCCCCCTCCCCCATTCAAGGGGGAGGGGGCGACACTGCCTCGTCCACATTGCCGCCTCCCTTTGCTGCCTACGCCCTCTCTTCAGTCACACACACAAGTGCAGCCGATTCTTGGTTTCTCGGCCAGCACCGTAATTCACGGAGCAAGCACCTCTTCATTCGGCTTCCCCAGGTCTTCAGGAATGGCCGCTAAATCGCCTCACACAATGGTGGTCATCTGGCTTTGGACTCTCCACCTGTGCGAGCTATGCGAGCTAATTAGAAGTTAGTGTGTACCCTTTCGATCCGCGAAATTTTGTAAGGTGTCCCTTTCCGATCGCCTTCCGTTACGAGCGGGCCCCTACCCCCTCGTACCCGTTCGTCGACCCGCGTTCGCGCGGGTTCCATCGAACTCATTCTCCCTTTCCCTCCCTCTTCTTCCCTCCCTCTTTGTGTAATGTGAGGGCCCGCCTGAGGACAGCCGTCTATGGGATCAGCACTTAGCGACACACGTGTACAACGGCACGAATTGATAAAGGTCAGTCAGTCACATGCAGCTAGCTGGACACTCCTACCTACCTAATTACACTCGCGTAAGCTTCGCTGCCTGCCTGCCTGCCTGCTAGAGCTCCGTCAGAACTAGGTCAGAAGGGCGACTGGCAGAGGGGACAAGTCGTCTTGTGCGATGTCCGGAACCACCTGCACACATCACAGCACAGAAAACACAGATGGACACAGGTGTGTTGTCAGTGCATGGCGTGGCGCCTGCCTCTCGTGTGTGTGACGGACGGGCCGTACTGACTTGAAGATGCATTCGGCGTGGAACTTGTGTTTGCACGTGGGGCATGCCGTCTTGGGCAGCGATCGGTGCTGCGGGTGGACCACACTGAAGCAGATGGGGCAGTCCTCCAACGACGACGAGAACAGCCGCAGGTTGTCGTACCACACTGTCAGAGCGGCCGACAGAGAGCTGGTCTTGAGAGTGCGGACCGTCGAGAGCAGCCAGTTCATGGTGCGACGCTTTGGCACACCGGCGATCTCTGGGGTCTCGGCCGCTGTCACCGGCTGCAAGCAATCGCCACGCAGAGAGAGAGAGAGAGGGGGGGGTGCACATGATGCCATTGCCTCCTTGTTTCCCTGTTCTTGCCTGCAGAGGATAGTGCTCCGGGAAGTAGAGCACCAGGTCGACACTCATCTCGCCACTCACAAACCCCACCGTCAGCTGCCGAAGCCGCCTGTTGTATCTCAATGTCCTCTCGCCCTCCTGCTGGGCCAGGTTTTGCTGCAAATGTGCCGTGGCCGCCGAGATCTCCGCACTGATCAGCCGGGGCGTGATGAGGGTCGACGTGAAGCGCTCGAGCTGCTTCCGGCTCTTGGTGTTGGAGGAGGCCGACCAGATGGACCGGACGGCTGTGGGGCAGGCCCGCACCACCCATGTGTATGCCTTGGTGGCCAGCAGCCACACGAAGGCAGGGTTGAGAGGGTTCCAAGCGTCCGCTCCGTTCTCGCCCAGGCCCTCGAGATCGACCATGCCGCCCGTCTCCCTGCTGGCATCGCGTACATGCGATATCCAATCGTGCCAAAGGTGCCGGCCGCTCTCGCCCCCTCTCCCTCTCCCTCTGCCCTCCACACGCCCACCGAAAGCCTCCTGGCACCTGGCGAGTGCGGCGGCCAATCTGTGCCTCGGTATAGATGGGCCGGGAGGGAGGGGGTGGATGGGCGGTGTGGATGGCTGGCGCGCGATGAGGGCTTGTGGGTGCCCCTGGTGGGGCTCACACGCGATGAGTGTGACGAAGATGAGCTCCACCAGCACCTCGATGGGGCTCATCTTGAGCACCTCAGACAGCACCAACGGGTCGATCAGGCCGTCCGCTACGCCGCACCACCCATCTGGTCTCTCTCGTTGTGTGCCGTCCGTGTCGGTGTCAGTCGTGTCGGTCGTGTCAAAGGCACTGACGGCCTTGGACAAGACGCGCGTCATCCTCCCCGCAACCTCAGTTGCACCTCCAGCCCCAGCCGTGAGCAGAGATCGTGTTGCGCCAGTTGCCACCGACTCGATGCGACAGAGAGATGGGGGGAGGGAGGGGGGCGGGGGCACAGGGGGAGAGGGGGGATGGGGAGGGGAGGAACGCTCTCCAGCCTCTCCAGGCTCCTCCTCCTCCGTCTGCACCATCGCCTCCCATGCCTTGCGCACTTCGCCGGCCGCCTCGTACGCATCAGATGGGGCCGTCTGCAGCAGCGTCAGCAGATATGACGAGAGAGACGGCCCATCCCCCTCCTCCCCTCCCTCTCCCTGGCCGTCACTGCCTCCGTGAGTCGCATGAGTGTCCAGCAGGGACGGCAGCACGGTGAGCCACATCCAGAGGGCGCGCACAACGCCGGGCAGCATCTCCAATGGGAACGCCAGCAGGCCGTGGTCATCCTGATGGTCTTCGTCATCCTCGGTGTCCCCCCTCTCTCCTTCGGTGGCGATGGCATGGGAGAGGATCGCCGCAATAAGGCGGTAGGGCGACAGCAGCTCCCTCGCCACGTCAGCCCCCACCAGGCAGTCGAACATCCACCGCATCAAGCCCAGCCCCTCCACTGTGCTGGCGCGGACAGCTTCCTCCGATGAGGCGAATAATGCGGCGGCGGGCCTCTCTCCTTGTGTGTCGTCGGTGGCCTTGTCGGTGAGGGAGTTGACCGACCTGCCAAAGGCGGCGAGAAGGGACTCTGCCTGTGGTGGTGTGATGGGTGGGGGGATCGGCGCGGCGAACCAGCTGTGTTTGCGGAAGTGCTGCATCAGGCAGGTGTGCATCGGCACAGAGCGGCAGCAGTGGAGCAGCCGCACCAGCTGCGAGATGTGGTGGTCGTCTGTCGGCAGCCCGCCCACGATGGCCCTCATGCAGCCCCACACCTCCTCCCACACACACGACGGCATCCAGCCGACCCGCACCGCATGGTGCTTGTGGCTGTGGTTGCCATCGCGCTGATCTCCATCCTCCTCCATTGTGAGCACCGTCAGCTCTCCCCGGTCTCTCTCCTCCACCCAGTGCCGCGCAAGACTGTCGATAGCACATGTTAGGTCGATGAATGGCGACAGGATGGCGTCGAGGAGGGGGGTCTCTGTGAAGGGAGAGGGGGGCTCGGTGGCTGCTGCTGATGCTGCTGGTGGAGGGAAGAGGCGCGTGGTGAGGGCCTGCAGGTGCTGGCTGGTGTGGAGGGTGTAGGGGCGGGAGAGACAGGGGAGGAAGGCACGCAGCAGACGATACGTGCCTGCTTCAGTCACCAAGAAGGAACACAACACAACACACGTGTGTGTGAGGATATGATATGCTCCGTGAGGCTGTCGCTTGTGTCTATCCTTGTGTACCTGTGGGCATGACAACCTGCAATACGTCCCTCACACCCTGCTGCTGCTGCTGCTGCCCGTGTCCTTCTAGCACCCTCTGAGCAGATGCCGCATGCACCGCCAGACCCATCTGCAGCAACCGTGCCATCTCCCCAATCTGAGCCGCTGTCACCACCTCGCCCCCTCCCTCCCCCGCAGCACCAGCCAACACGTCCACACCATGCCCCTGCTCCATCAAACCGGCCACGAAGGATGCCGCCGCGTCGATGAGCAACAGAGACGGCTGCTGCTGGTCGGTGGGAATGAGCAGGTGTGAAAGCAGCTGGTGGATGAGGTCGAGGGTGGCCTGGGTGTCTGCGCGTGTGGCGATGCTGTCGAGGGCTTTGTGGTAGCCGCCGTTGAGGGCCCGGTGGGCTTGGATGGCGGGGTCGTTGTCGTCGTGCTCGAGAACGAGCTCTGACTCCTCTGTGACGAAGGCGGCTTGGTGGATGCCCTCGCCGCTTGACGGATCCACCTGAGGCGCACCATACCGGCAGCCACACACGGAAATACACACATTTTCTTCTGCGTATGTGTGTGTGTGTGTGTCTGGGGTCACCGACCTCTTGGATTACAGGCGTATCGTCATGGGAGGGAGGAGGGGCTGCTACTGCTGCCGCTGCTGCTGCCCTCCTCTCCGGCGAGTCGGTCCTCGCCCTCTTCCTCTCCCCGTCACACTCGATCGGCACGAACGCCTCAGCCATGTCCACACACACGCCGCGCAACGCAATCGCCCTCTGCAGACTGTCGGCGAGCTTGACCAAGCCCTCGTTGTCTGCTGGCTGGGGCTGGGACTTGAGGCGTCTCAAGGACTGGTGGACGTTGGCCATGGCTGATCGGTATGCGTGTGTGAGGGAGGACAGCAGTGCGCCGGCAGTGGTGTGGGGGGGCGGGTGAGATGATGATGCGAGACAGCGGTGAAAGGCGGAGAGGACGGCCTGCAATGTGCACAGCAGTCAGGGGTGTCTGGATGCGGTGCATGTGGGTGCCTTCTTGTGCTTGTGCGCGTACCCTCCATTCGGTGCCATTGTGCTCAGATGGTGACTGCTGCTCGAGAGCCCTCTGGCAGGCAGACCACAGCGACAGCAGCGCATCGTTCGCCACCTGAACACACACCAACACAGCGCATGCATCCACTCTCAATCTCAATCACAATCACTCCTACTAGACTGACCTTTTCATCCTCGATGGCAGCCCACTCGCCCATGGCGGCCTCCAAGGCCCTCACGCCCACGTCCACACCAAGACCCACACACACCTCCACCAAGCGACACATCGGCTGCTGCTGCTGGTGTGAGAGCAGCATGCCTGGCATCAGCCGTCTGGTCAGGTGGGCCTCGATGCGGTGGATGAGCGGTGGAGGGCCCGTGGTGGTGTGTGGGGGGGTGAGGGGCGGCGCTGTGCCCTGGCTGTGGACGTACAGCAGCAGAGAGAGGGTGGAGATAAAGGGGTCTGGGGTGGAGGAGATGCACTCTGCGAGACCGCTGGCCGTGCCTGACAACACACACACACACATATCCATATGGCCATATTTGAGCTTCCACGCGCTCCTTCGCATACATACCGGTCTTGCCACATCTCTCGACCATGCTGACGAGCACCTCGGCCACCCACCACAGCTGCCACAGGCTGCCCCCCTCCCCCTCCCTCTCTCGCCAGGCACCGATGGACCACACATCACTGCCAGCCTTCATCAGGCACCTGGCCAGAAGGGCCCACTGTTTGGCGTCTGTTGCTGCCGCGGCGGTGAGCTGGACGGCCGCCTCCGCCCACCGAGAGGGTGGGACGGTGCTGCTGGAGAGCCGCCGGCCGGCTAGTGACGCCTCGCCCCTGTCAATGATCACGCATAAGTGAATGGGCTTGTGTGTGCGTGGATGTTTTGATGCGTACGTGCAGAGGATGTCTGTCAGCGTCTTCCACACAACGTTCCTCTCCGACTCCTCTCGTGTCTTGGCGAGCAGGGCGAATGCGTCACCAACGTCGGCGGGTGTGGGCGTGGGTGTGGTGAGCCAGAGGTAGAGGAGGGAGGTGAACAGGGAAGACTGGATGCCGCACCACTCAGACTCGCCCTCACCCTGAAGCACACACACACACCCCAAGCAATCGCCTGTCTGTTGTGTGTTGTGTTTCCAGCCAGGGTCAATGTGGCCCACCCATCCGGCCCACCACCTACTGACCTCGAGGTGTATATCGGCCACACACTTGGCCATATCAACAATCCCCTCACTCACACCACACACGTGCCCGTCGCAGGCCATGTCCACCCCCTGGCGCACCACCCGCCCCAGCCCCAGAAGCCCCTCGCGGGACAGCCATGAGTGCCGAGACAGACACCCGTTGAGCACCGCCATGGCCCGCTCTTGGATGTCTGTGTCGGGAGTGGCTTGGGCGAGGGATGGGCGGAGGAAAGAGGGCCAGATGGACAGGGCGGCTTGTTCAAGGGCGGTGGGCAGACGAGAACCGGACCAGCGTCTGATTGATTGATTCGCGTGTTATCAGACAATGTGTGTTCGTGTCCCTCTCTCTCTCTCTTGTGTGTGTGTGTGCCCAGCGTGTGTGTACCTACCTGTTGATAAGATGCCCCACAACACACGTGACGATGACCCCGTTGCCGTCAGCGATGTCAAGCAGCCCATCGATCACCTCCTCCTCCCACCGATCACCGTTGCCGGACAGCTGCAGCTGATCCATCAAGGGCGAGATGACGCGAAGGTACATGCCGTCCAGCACCGACAGCCGCTCTGCATCGATCGCTTGTGCGTGGGAGGTGTCGACGTGCTGCCACATAGCCCTGTACAGAGGCAGCACCTCCCCGCTCAGCAGCCGCATCACAGCATCGCCCTGTGGCTGCTGTTGGTGTTGTTCGCCTCCCCCCTCCCCCAGCCATGCATCAGTCACACTCAGCCGGCGTAGCGCCTCCTCACACACACTCAGCAGCTCCTTCACCCTCTCTGCCTCCCGCTCTTCCCTCAGCCTTGCGAAGAGCCGTCTCCACATGCCGCCCGCCAGCGCCCCAGCCTCGCCCGTCAACCACTGATGCAGCGATGGCGTCGGCGTCTCTGGTGGTGTGGCAGTCATGATGGCTTGCAGAATGGCCAGCGGCCGCGTGGATGGCGCTGTGGTTGAGGGCGAGGGTGAGGGTGAGGAGAGTGCGGCCGAGAGGAGGCGCAGGAGGGAGATGAAGACGAAGCGGGGGAAGGAACGGTCGAGCATTTCCTGCACAGACAGACATATGTGTGTTGGAGAGGGGGGGAGAAGGGTGTGTGTGTGTGTTTGAGTGGAGAAGTACCTTGACGACGCCCTTGATGAGGTCGGGCATGCAGGCCAACTCATCGCTTGGGATAGCGGGCACAAAGCCGTCATCAAACTGGTGCTGCCACGTTTCTCTCTCCTCCTTGCCGCCTTTGTCCTTCTTCTTCCGACCACCCTGGCCGCTCTCCTCTCTCTCAAGATGCTGCTCCGGCTGCTGCTGTTGGTGGTGGTTGTGGTCCATCTCTGGCTCTCGCCTCTTGCGCAATGGTGGCTGCCCATCGCCTAGGTGTCCCTTGCTGTCGCAGCGGAGGTAGATGTCCACCGGCAGCCACAGCCACTCGTCGCACAGCGTGTTGGCATACCCCAGCCGAGTCAGCTCCTCACCACCATCACCATCACCACCACTAGCAGCAGATGCACTCGCCGACCCCCCGACGCAGTAGCGCTTCTCGAGCAGAAACACAAAGCACTCGTACCAGGCCGTGAGGATGTCTTGGCCGGCAGGGTATGGCGGGGCGGGTGGGCGGAATGCCAGGAGGAGGCAGAAGAAGAAGTGCGGCATTTGTGTGTGGGCGCCGTCGTGTGAGAGGATGAGTGTTGGGGGGATGGACGAGAGGAGGGGCGGGAGGGCGTGAAAGTACTGCCGGCTGGAGGTGAAGCCGCCGTGGCGAAGTGACGACAGCAGACGGGGGAAGAACACCTTGTCCACCTGCATGATAGAAACAACAGCCCTCGGTGTGTGTGGCACGTGTGGTTGGGGCTAAGGATGCATGGATGCTCGGATGCTCACTGACTTACCTTGACGAGGTCCCAGACAGAGCCGAATAGCTTCACAAACCGCACCACGACTGACGGCGTACACACCTGACACACACACACACATAAAGAAGCAAGCCAAGCACAGTCAGGCACCTCCACCCCTCTGTGTGCGTGTGTGCCTGACCTCTTCCATGAGAGTTTTATCACCAATCGCCCCCAGCACGCCATTGCACAGCGACTGCGGCATGGCCGTCTCGCCATCGCCCTTGGCCACTGGCGGCAGCCCCCCCGCCTGCTGGTAAGCCACTAGAACGTCATTCATAGCGCGGCAGGCTCCCTGCCGCACAGGGGGTCGGTGGTTGGCGGCCATGAACTGCCAGAGGCCGAGCTTGCCCTGAAAGAACCGACGCATGGCGGCCGTCCAGTCGTCAGACAGCAGGGGAGGCGGGGAGAGGGAGGGAGATGACAGCAGGAGGGCCATGTGGCCGACGGCCTGCACAGTCGCCGATATGACCTGGGTAGCATGACAGACAGACAAAAGAGAGAGAGGACGGGCTGTGTGACGCGTGTGTGCGCGTCATTCTGACATACTCACTCGGTCGTATCGCTCTTCTCGCTCGGCCTTTGGCATGGTCTGCATGGCGGTGTCGCCGCCGTACTCCTCATTGAGCGTCTTCTCACTGTGGTTCAGACACCGCACATACTCATCCACCAAATCTGACCTGAGCCGGTCACACACATACACACAACAGGCAGGCACAGTGAGAGGGAGAGAATGCTCCAGCATCCCTGCATCAATGCTTGTAAACCTCCTTACCGGCAGTGTTTGAGAAGGTCGACCCTCTTCTTGACTTGCTCAGGCGGGAAGGCCGTGTCCAGCGCCCGTCTGGCGCTCATTGCCACCTCCTCGTTCACGTCAAAACAGCTCGCCAGCCACACCGGCAGCACGCCACGCAGATGTGGCGCCAGCTCCCGACCCACCTTGCCCACCACCAGCACGAAACAGCCCTGGGCACCTTTGCGAACTCTCCAGCTCTCATCAAGCAGAGCGAACCGTCGGTAGACGTAGCAGAAGGCCGGTAGGCAGCCGGTGACGACGGCGGCGTCACCGGTCTCGAGAGCTGTCTGGAGGTCTGCGAGGCCTTTCTGTTTCGTGACAGAGTCCTTCTTCATCATCTTCCGCAGAGCCATGCCGATATCGTTGTTCTCGAAACGAACAGAGGGCGGGGGAGGGGAGCCTGACGGACGTGAAGACGCACCTGAATGAATGAATGAATGCAGCCAGACACCCAGCCACACAAGCAGACAGACAGGCAGGCAGGCAGACCCAGTTTTTCTACAGGACGATTGACATCATTTGCATCACGCTGACCGTTGTCGATGGATAGGGATGAGTCGGACACATCGCGGCTGACTGAGGGAGCGGCGAACCGCTCAAAGATCTGACACACGCAACACAAGAAGGGTCATATAACCAGATGAAAGATCGTGTGTGTGCCTCTATATCCACGCGCGTGTGTGTGTGTATGTGTGATGGCAAATGGTGCATGGTATGCTATGCTTACAGCTGACAGCTGTGAAGATCCCGCGTTGGATGCCGCTTGTGCATCGGCCGCCGATGATGTATTGATGAGCAGCTCAGCTGCCTTGCTGCTGCTCGATGCCTTCGACTTGCCCTTCTGTTTCGGCGCCATCTCCTGATACAGGGAGGGAGCGGTTTCATCTCATCCTTCTGGAGCAGCGGTTTTAGGGCAGCCTTCTGCGAGCTAATTCGACTCGAATTCGCGACAGGGTCGAGACGATTTTCTGGCCTTCCTTTCTTTCCCTCGAGGCCGCCTGTGACGACGGGCAGCAACATCCAACCCAGCAATCCTCTGTGCCATCACGGGCTTGGGCGGCTACTTGTTTGCTGGCTACCCATTGCAAGTGGCCTACGACATCCTTCTTGGACGTGGGCACAGTCGTTGGGTTGGCTGGTACGGTGGGGCCGTGGAAGGTGATTTGGCAGGCGCAGTGCTGTCCACCCAATACCGTCGACGAGCAGTTTTAACCTATTCCAGCCACAAATCAGGGCACTTGAGCGGTGATCAGACGAAGGCATCGAGGACAATGGTCGTAATCCCTTCGTACACCGCCGGCCCTTTCGAGGACAACGCAATCCCTTCGTACACCGCCGACCCAGCGTACGAGAGGTTTGTGGAGCAACATGTGGAGAGAGAGCTGCTGCAGAAAGTGGTGGAGAAGGCGAACAAGACGAGCGAGCACCAGCCGTGGGGTGTCAAGGCGACGAAGGGGATGGCAGTCAAGTCGGCTTATTCTGTCGAGCTGGCTAACGGCGAGATCATGACACTAGAGGGGAGTCCGGGCGACCTTTGCCTGACACCTCGTATTTCCGCCTCTCGCCCAGCCACAACCTGCACTGGGAAGGTTGCCGTCATTGTGGACGCGATGGCCAAGGATGCGTCGTTCACCGACAGCCGACTTGATCAGCTGTCCGGCGAGATGATGGTGGTGAGGAGCTTGAGGGACGCACCATCTGGGCGTGAATGTGATGATCCATTGGGGGTGGTCTGCAATGACATTCAGGCGTGGCTTGTGCGGTTTGACGAAGAGCTAGACAGATCAGTGTGTAATCTGATCGTTAGTCAAACACTCGACTACACTCAGCTTGCCAACTATCTTGTCGGCCTATCCTATCGAGATGGCTGACGGAGAAATCATGACGCTCAAGGGCAGTCCGAGCAATCTTTGCCTGATACCTCGCAGTGCGGACCTTCTCCCGGCTAGGACCTGCATTGAGAGTGTTGCCGTGATCGCGATGGCCAAGGGTGCTGCATGGCCAAGACGGCAGGCGGCATTACAATGCTGCACGTCATCAAAGAGCTCTGCTGTAAGTCACGAAGGAAGAGAAGGTGACAATGTACATCCTCGTTGTGTCAAACCGTCGTGGTATTTCTCTTCTTTCGAGATGGAAAACATCCATGCAACACTGATGATTTGACTGTCCTCAGACACCGCAGTACTATCAAGACTGCCTGGAACAGAAGCGAAAGACCATCAATTCAAGGCTGCAAAGTGAGCCCTAACGGGAGAGAGAGACACCAAAAGCAGGCTATTCTTGCTCTGCAGGACCATCGCTCAGCTGCGAGGGCCGCCGCTTGGCCATAAAGTTGGCTACACGACGGGAAGGGGCAAGTGTTTCGACATGGCAGGAAGCACACAACTATTGTTCGCAACCGCAGGTAGCGAATTGTCAAGAAAAACGCTCAGCTGTAATGTAATGTAAAGTAATGTAATGTAATGCTCAAATATTGATGTTTGCTCAGGCTGTGCTAGAATGCTTTTGTCATCTGGGCCTATCACCGACGTCAACATCATTTTGGACGAGGCACACTCTCGCCAAATGGATGTGGAATGCATGGTGGTAAGCAAAAATTCATCGACTGATCAGCTCTTGTCTCCCTACGTGTCGCTTCTACTGAAGACTCTCTTAAAAGACGTCTACGAGGGGCACGTCTACGAGGGGAAAGGAGGCAGGGTTCGTCTGATGTTAATGTCGGCTACAATTGCGAGCGGTCAGTTGTATGGCAGAAGCTCCATGCAATGAAGAGAGCCTGCGCCAAAAGCGTTACCCAAGTTGGCTTCCTGCTGATGTTTGTGCAGCCCCTCTGAAGGCATATTTTGCTGGCGACCGAGAGGTCTAGAGCAGCAACACTGTGTTTCCCTCGTATCTCTGCGCAATGCTCTGTGGTGTTTCCTTCTCATAGGACGGCAGAATTATTGAAATCGAAGAAAGACAATCGAGACTGGAAGAGGAGTTTCTGACAGATGCCCTGCTTCAAAAAGCTTTACCTGAGGTGAGGACAATCACAAACGCGCTCACAGCAATCACACATGCACTCACATATTGTTATCGCGGTGTTGTCACAGATAAATGTGACGATTCATGACTTTGACTTTACTGTTCCTGGCATGGCTAAGACGACAGGCGGCATCATAATGCTGAACGCCATCAAAGGGCTCTGCTGTAAGTCACAAAGGAAGGGAAAGTGATAAGGTACAAACTCGTTGTGTCTCATCCTCTCTTCTTCTGGACGACGTAAAAAGCAATGAATGGCATCGGTTTAAGGGGAAGGTGATTTTGATTTTCGTTTCGGGTAAAAAAATCTTTACCCTGCCAACTCGCGACTGCGATGTGTCTGCGTTGCTTGCTTTTCAGCTATGGCGGAGATGAACCAGCTTAAAGACACACTGCTGCTTGAACAAGAGGCTGAAGCCTTCTTTTGCGTACGAAGACTCCACTCCTTGCTCAGCAAGGAAGAGAGAGATGCAGCTCAGGAGCCGCTGCCAGCTGGCAAGGCATTTGAATGAGTAAAAGAAAGAAAATAATGCGCTGTCTTCTTTCTGGGTCTTCAGACAAAATAACATTGCCACACCAAAGGCCACTGACTATGCCGAAACATTGCCACACCACGAGGAGATCAATGGGTTGTTCCCTGATCTGCAGCCTCCTCCCACCCCCGAGGAGATCATCTTCGAGCCAGCTCCTGACAGCCGACGACCTGAGTCCAACACTGGCGTTTGGCCTCCGTGGGCTCGTTGCTCAACCAGGGGGTCCCGTGCTAGTCTATGTGGAGCGCCATCCAGAGCGCCGTAAGATGGCCAACAATCCGATGAATGAAAGCCAGCGTTGTGTTTTTGTCGTTCTGTCTGCAGGTGACGTTGGTGTCGACGCCCTCCAGAACGCCAGCTGCTGGGGCAGATTCCTGGTTTGCCTGTTCAGCATCAAGACGCGCCATAATCGGTATACACCATTCTATTCATATATCGATATTCAGTCGGCCAACCAAGGGTGCATAGAAGCCTGTGTTTTGTTTTGTGAAATGTGTCCTTTTGCTGACGTGTCTGCAGTCCTTGGCTTTTTGCGTTTTGCAGTCGACTCGATTCCATCAATGTGTGTGTCTGTGAGTTCCGAGTGCTGCACGAGAAGAGGGAGGCCTTGCGCCCTCAATCGCTGTGTACATTTTATATTCGCATGGCGTGTGCTATCCTCAGTGAATGCTAACTGATCGGCTGTTGTCGCTTTCCATTGTGGAGTGAATCTCTCTCTGTAGACTTGTGCATACGTGTCTCCGAGCTGCGGGTGCTGGACGAGACGTGCTAGATAGACACATGGTGCATTATTTCAAAGCTGCCGATGACATGTCTGCCCGACGTATGTCAGTCCACCACACAACATACACAGCTCTCTCGGTCTTATCTATCGCATTCACGCCTCCCGTCCTCTCCTCTCACACACACAAAGGAGCCAGCTCCGAAAACGGAGTAAGTGTCTATCTGTCCGTCTGCATGTCTGTGTGTCTATCTGTTGGTAGAAGTGAGCGGTGCCCGCCGTCCGTGTGTGGGTGCAGGGGCCGGGGAGGGGTCGACGGTGATGAACGACTCCACACCACCATCTCCCTGATACACACTGCATTATTGCAGCCACACAGACAGACACCCGACAACGAACCAAGAGTGCACGTGGGAGCGTGTTGGTCTGTCATTAAACTAATCCATTCTCGCGCTTACTGCTGTGCGGCGTGCAGCTGCTCTGCCGAATGTGTGGCGAACGCCTGGGAATGAAAAGGAGGAAGACACTCACGTAACGTATAGGGTGCATGCCATGCTGTCTATGGTAACTGTCTTTCTTTCCCTCACTTACGCTGAGCACTCGTTTGCCGCGTTCTTGTCGCTCGCCCGATGCCATCATGGCGTCCAGCAGCATCTTACTGCAGGCACAGACCGCCAGCACACTGATGAATGTATGGTGCTGTGCGCTGTGGTGCTCACCGTCTGTAGGTGGAGATGACAAGGGGGAATGACAGAGACGTGTCGCCCAAGTTGCCGTCCATCATCGCTAAACACACACACACACACACACACATCTTCCAACACACGAGCCCATGTGCCGTGTTGGCAGGCACGTGCTGACTCACATCGGAAGGCCTGGTAGACATGGCCAGAGGCCCCCTCGCCGTCATGGGCCCCCTTGACCAGACTCAGGAACTCTGCGAAATCAATCTCGCCCGACCCATCTGCCCCGCAGCCACAACACACACATCGGTCAGGCAACTCACAAGCTCACCCCCCCCTGGTGTGTGCGCATGTGTGGCCGACCCACCCTTGTCGATTGCTCGGAATATGACGTCAATCTGGCTCTTGGACCGAGCGAGACCCAATGCGATTAGCGACTCGGTGAACCGCTCCATGTCGATGCTGCCTGCAGCCAACCGGCAGCCAGCCATACACAGAGAGGGACGGACGGATGGATGGACCAGCACAAGCGTGTCTGCTTCTCAGATGGTTAATGCACCTACCTTTCTTCTCTACATCCTGCCAAGCCAAACCACACAGTGTGTGAATGCTCGTGTTGATTGCAGTGACTGGCCGACTCGACTGTCTGCCTGACTCGCTCACTGACTGACCAGGCTGTCGAAGAACTTTTTGAGTTCTTTAATCTCCCGGTCAGTGAAGTCCAACACATGGCCCTTCCCATGAGTCTGCAGCCAGCTCCGCTCGCGACGTGTGTGCTGCACCAACATACACAGACAGACAGACGGACAGACACACAGACAGGCAGACAACGCATCACTCCTGAGTGAATGAGCACCATATCCCCTCGCCCCGCACCAGCAGTTTCTTGGCCTCTTCAGCCTTCGATTGGAACGCCTCGTTCTTGGGGCTCGTCGGGCTCTTGGGGCTCGTCGGGCTCTGCAGCCCACCATGAGACTCCTGGGACGCCCGTCGGCCGCCATCAGCCTGCGAGACGGACGAGCGCCTTGGGGCCGCGCTGCCGCAGCGAGAGGGACCTTCAGTCGAGCTGCGACGTGCCTCAGACATCGCCAAAAACTGACGTTAAGAAGCTCGCACGTCAACAGGGTGAGAGCGGCCGTTGAGAAAGTCTTTCTATTTCGCTCTGCAATGGTGTGCGGACGTATAGCTTTCGTTGGGGTGCTCCTGGGCTGCGTGGCGACACTATCGCAAGGTAACACACCAAAAGACGAGATGACCACAGAGGTCCGTTTCTGTGTGTTGGTGCGGCGTGCAGGCGGGCGGCCAGGCAGAGGCAGCAGCAGCATCGATTTGGTGACGCGTCATCTTCAGGAGGCCGCCGTGTGCGAGTCCGCCTGGTGCCCGAGTACATACCAAGCAGACGACGTGTGTGACGCACAGTGCAAGAGCCACGGCTGCCCGGAGGACAAGGCCTGCTGTGAGCCGCCTCTCTGCAAACACACATTGTGGCACACGCACGTGGACATTCTCTGCCTGTCTGCCCGTCTGTGCGTGTTGCCTTCCTGCCTGCAGCCACGTCGCCCGACACGTGTCCCTCAGGAAAGTTCCACGACCCCGCCATTCACCCCTGCCAGGACTCGCCGGAGGTGAAGGCACATGGCAAGAACTGTAAACTGCTCATCTGGGCAGCGAAAACGAAGAAACACGACTGCGCCATCAGGTCTGCTCCACACACACACACACAGAGAGAGAGAGAGAGAGATGGTGTGTAGTCCATTTGTCTATGTGTGTGCGTGTGTATGTCCGAAGGCTGGCGACGCTGGCGGAGTTGTGGCACCGGCCGTTGCCCGAAGGAGTGGCGGACTGCACGAGGCTGATGGACGCCTGCCCCAGCTCGTGCGTCATGTGCAACACGACCGTCTCTGCCCTGGCACATCGACGAGGGCCGCTGGATGGGGTGGATCTTAGTGGCCTGGTGCCTGATGAGGCTATGCAGGCACTGGAAGACGATTGACGTCTGAATGAGACAAATGTGCTGCCTGCATGGTGTTGATATGGATGGAAAGCGCCTGCATCCGGTGCTGGAGCTGTCATTGCTTCCTTTAGTGAGCACGTGCATGTTCATGTGTGTGTGTGTGTGTGTGTGTGTGTTGTGCAGTGTGGACATCGCATTCAGCTCCTTATGGACGGATAAGATGGATAGGTGGGTATCGGCAGATGGGGATAAGTTTGCTCTCCCGATTGCTGACTGTTTGCATGCATGTAACATTTATACATACATGCTGTACGTACGTACGTATAAGTGCATTGCATACACGTGAGCGAACAAGGAAACGGAAAGGCACACACAGCATGTCACAGGACGAGGGACGCTTGTGTGATGTTGCCAATCATTTGAAAGGATCTGGATCGCATTTAGCACTGATCACATGCATGTGCAGCATCCACAATGCCCTGCAGCTCATCCCAATGCCCTCTGCCACAGCCGGCCTTGGTGACATCTCGCTCACCCGCCCATTCATAACTGCCGCTATCACGCGATGCTGACAAACAACACCGACCAACATGCAGGGAGCATTGGTCGGCAAGAACAGGGAGTGCTCTGAGCTTGGCCGCGCGCTGCTCCAACTTGCGACGCAACCCACATAAGTGTCACGCATCGATAGACGCACATGTGCTGCAGTGCAGTGCGCATCGATTAATCGACAAAAGGCGTCCATTCATTTATCTGTCCATCAATCCAGTCACCAGCTACGTGTAGACACACACACAAACACACACACACACACACACGAGATGGCAGGATTCAGTTTTCGCTGCATGTTGGGAACTCCCAAGCACTTCTCCCATGCACACACACCTGCCTGCATGCCTGCCTCTCTCTCCCAATAGCTGTCTCTGTCAAGGGACCCCAGTCAAGACCCCACACACGCACGCTTAGCCCATAACGCGAGGGTGTGTGGGGGACGGACCGCATCAGGCGACACGCACAGCAGATGCGGCAAACCATCCATCCATCCAGGCGTCAAACCAGCGTTGGCAGCAACGCTGCGTACGGTTTTGTCTTCTTGTGTGCACTCGACAGACAGCCTGGAAGACACACACAGCACAGGCGCAATGGCTGCATTGCTCCGTCTCCTTCCACTCACCTCCTTAAGAGCGGCGCCTTGCAGTCACCTCAATTGTCGATCCTCTGTGGCGTGTGGTGATGAAGTTGCTGCCGACCTCTGTGCACGTGTGTGTGCAGAGCAGCTGCTCAATGGCAGAGCGAACGGCCCCGTTACCACGAACGTGCACCGTCAAACTCCGCAGGCCCCGCACGCCGCCGCCCACGATGGATGACATGCCATCGCGGATACGCTCGGCAGCAGAAGAGGGCTCCAGATCGTCGGGCACTGAGTGACAACACACACACACACACACACATGCGCTCAGCCATCCAGCAGTCTCCTGCAATGCATTGCATACCTGACAACACCATGCTTATGTCGCCAATCGATGGGAAGCTGTCCGATCGCCAGCCGTCGAATGGATCCTCAGTGAGGCTCACCGCATTAAATGGGCTCACAGAAACTCTGCCCACCTCTCTCTCTTCCCCCAGCCCTTCCAACACGCCCCGTCTGTCCTCTCCACTCACAGGTGGCTCGAACCACACCACCCCCACACCCCTGGGCATCTTCTGGGCCAACAGCCGACCTGCAGCACCGCCCACAGCGCTGACAATATCGAGTGATCGGGCCCCTGGGAAGGGCTGCAGGTGGTTGATGATGGCGGGGCGGGGAGAGGGGGTGCCTGGAGGGGGGACAGAGCTGAAGGCATTGCAGACCCGCACGGCCGTGACGTTGTCAAATGAGAGCGTCTTGGCGATCTCGATGGCCGTCTCTATGGGGTTGTCGACGGGGTGGGTGAGGTCATGCTGGCTGATGGCATATCTCACCCCGTCTGCCTTCCGTGCGGCCGTCTGGATGGCCATCTTGAAGAGGCGGGAGGGGTTGATGGGAAAATCCTCGCTATAGAACAGCGACAGGTCCAGACTTCTGATGCTTGTCGCCTCGAAGACGATTTCGGCATCGGGTCGGCAGCACGAGCTGTGCAGAGAGGCGAGGGACTGCAACAGGGGAAGGACGCTGCTGTCGATATCGTTAAAGTCCAGCGCCACAACCAGCTCAGAAAGCGAGCAGCGGCACCCACGTGACGTGAGTGCAGCCTATACACAGCAACAGCACACACATATGGTGAGATCACCGTCAAGACCCGTCTGGCACGTGCATCTCGTACTGGCTGCGTACCTGCAGTCTGTCCACCGCTGCACGGGCCTCATGAGGATTGCCGCCCAGCTCGATGGTGCCGACGCTCTGCAGCTGCCGGAGCGGCTCCTGCTGCTTCTCGTCTGCCATCGGGATGTGATCCAACACCGTGGCCCACTGCTCACCCGGCAGATGGCCGCCCACGCGCCGCAGACACCGTGACGACCTGATGAACCGGCCCAGCGAGTAGGCATCCCACCCCTCCTGATCCACTGTCTCGAGTGATGACATCCGCCACCCCCTGTCGGCCAGCACAGGATGCTCTCGGACGGCTCCGGTGACGGCCTTGAGTGAGGGGAGGGTGAGGGGCTCGGTAGGTCGAGGAGGGAGAGGGTGACGCTTTCGCTCCAGCTGCTGTTCCTCCGTTGCACTCAGCTGCACCTCTTCGAATGCGAAGGTCTCCAGCCGGCTGGCCGACTGTCGCATCTCAGAGGGCCTCTGGGTGGCGGCAGCGTCTCCCTGTCTGTCGGGCTGGTCGGTGTTGGGGGGAGGCTGAGTGGGGGCGGGCGGGGCGGCTGTGGCCTCGATGATGGTCACCAACACGTCAAGGCACCACATGGGGTGGCGCCCAGGGTGGCAGAGGGCGATGTGAGTGAGGCCGGTGAGCCGTGCCGCTATCCGCTTGATGTAATCGAGAGGGATCCGCTGCCAAAAGGTGCGGCCCTCGGTCGGCGATCGCCAGCAGTGCTCGTCGTCCTTGGTGGCGCAGTCGATGAAGAGCCGTGTGTGGCTGGGCCCACTTGTTCCCACATCTGCTTGGTGCTCTTGGCCAGCCACAGGGAGAGGGGGATGAGCACATGAAGGGGAAGGAACTCCATCACCAACGAACAAATCTGCAGAACACACACACAGACAGAGGGAGGAATGAGTGTGTCTGTCAGCCATTCACCGCAGATCCCTCTGGCTGGTCTCACCGTTTCTATGCGCTGTTGCTGCTCTGCATCGCCGTCCTCCACAGCACCCCCAGCAGCAGCAGCCGGGTTGGCAGCCACACGTGCTCGCTTGTTGCCGTCACCAACACACACCTGGACAGACAGACGCAGACATGGGCTGGTCCATGTGTGTGTGTGTGTGTGTGCGTGTGTGCTTACGCTCTTGGAGGGCTGCGCTCCGGCGTTGGTCTCGCCCGAATTCACAACGCCCTCTCGATGAGTGCACCGAAACAACTTGCCGTCGCCATCAGGCCCCTGACCACACACCCCAAGCTCTCCTCTCTGCGCCTGACTGCTGTAAAGTGCGTGTCTGCTGGGTGTGGGTACCAGTTGCTGATACGGTGGTGTCTGGGTCTGATTGTGCGGCACGACCTTCTGGAACAGCTCCGTGCCGCCGACCTCCCTCATGTAGACCACCGTCCCTCCCTCGGTCGGCTGCACGCGATACACCTCGGCCAGCGCCATGCCCCTCTTCGCGACAGTCGACACCATCCACACACGAGTGCCCTCCTCGTAACACTGAGGGCCACGGCGGGACAAAAGCTGCTGAAACGAATGCGCAATACGCAATGATATACGTGTGCTGTCTTGACTGACCGGCGTCTGCGGCCGAGACCCAGCGGCGGAGGATGACGAAGCGACAGCCGCCATGGCGCCAATCGAGCGACAGATCTGTCCCGCAACAGGCACCACGACGTGTGAGTGGTTTGGGCGTCGATGGCCACAGCTCCCCACCTACCTGTGCGTCGAATCGCTCTTCATTCTGCTTGGGGAGAAAGAACGAGTCCACCAAGGTCTCGTCCGCCCACGGGACCTCGTCTGGCCGCTGAGAAGAGGGAAGGGACGGTGGCCACGGGACGACTTCCTGCATCTGGCAAACTCAGGCGTAGATGACCATAGGTACATGAGTTGGTGCAGGTGTCAGCTTTCTCACCGGGCAAAACGGTCCATCATGTGTCACTGGGCCACCGGCAGCCACTGACTGTTCTGCCGGTGGTTCGCCTCCGGCAATAAGCGTGGACACTGCCAGGGGCCGGTCGAATGGTGTGGGGATGCCGGTGGCATCCACATAAGGCGATGAAGTGGATTCTTCCCCGTCTCTTCGTGGCTGCTGATTGTTTGTCACGGCCTGAGCACAAGGACATGCACCGCGTGGTGGGATGCGACCGTGTGGGCCGTCCACTTACCGGCTCGGGACTGCTGCCGATGGATGCACAATCGTTAGGGCGACCATCATCCACGCATGGCCCAGAAGGCGCATGAAGACCCTGCATACACCAATACAGACGTGAGTGAAAACCGTGAAGGTGTCGCTCTGCTGCTCACCTGTGCCTCAGTCAGGAGTTTCCGTCCGTGTGTCCTTTGCAGGTGAACAATGACCATGTTCTGGGGGAGGGTATGCCTGCCGCATACGCCCCCACCATCACGCGGCATCACACATGTGGCGCACCGCTTGTCGTCGTCACCCTTCCCAACCGGGACATAGCGTATCGCCTCGACCAGCTGCCCTCCCCGATACACACGGACGGAGCACTGGTCGTCGTACTTAGTCGCTCTCTCGTACAGGTACTTGGCCGGCTTGCGGAACACTTGAAGGCGGTAGAGGTGGCGCAACGGCAGCCTGCGGGCGTCCGCGTCGATGGCAGCCGGCAGCAGGCTGATGTCCCAGCCTTCCGCACCCATGATGCTCTCGGCACTGGCCGCGGTCAGCCATACGTGCCGGTCCTCTGCCGGGGCGGACGTGTCCCTTGGGTCGGCCAGTGAAGGACAGCGGATGCGGTCGAGCTCGATCGTGTTCCAATGGTGGCGAAGAGCAAACAGAACTGACAACCTTGTGAAAATGGGCCAAGCACCTGTAGGAACACACGCAGGACGAGCCATTTCATGCACAGTGCACCCGTTTGGATCTGTCCGTGTGCTTTGCTCCTTCATTCACCTGATGTCAACGAGCGTGTCCGGTATGCGGATGGAGATGGAGGATCCCCACACATCGGAGATGGAGGATCCCCACACCTCGGTTCCTGCAAGACAGCATGAATGTCCACAAAGGCATGGGGATCTGAGAGGACTCATGGTGTCGAACCAGTGCTAGTGGTGGATGGTCCAGGAAGCAGAAGGGTGGGTCTGGTGGCCGCCAAGACCATGCCGTGCTCGCCGCCATGGACTGAGAAAGCATCACATGCGCGCTCTCAACGTGACAGAGCATCCCTCCTACCATTTGCTCAGATGATACGGGGCAAACCTACAGAGACATAGAGCAAGGAAGTGCACGAACGTCACATTGATCAAGATGCCTGTACCTGTCCCCCGCTGCTATGTCCACAAAGGGCAGGACGATCCTGCTCAGGCAAGGAGAAGCAGATGTCATGACGATGCTTCGTCCCTATGTGTTTGCTGGGATAGAACAGTCCTGGCCTCTACCTGTCGGCTGACGAAAGATCCATCTACCATATCCGCAGCGTCTTCGTCATGCATTTGCTCCTGCAGGACAGGCAAGACATATCTCTGTTTCCTTGAGACTGTCGCTGTTGCTGGCGGTGCTATGTACCTGAGCAGTAAACAGCACTCCTGCCCCTGGTGGCTGCTGCATGCCTGCCCCTTCCAGCGGATCTGATTGTTGTGAGCCGAGCGACGGGGTGAGCAGCGTTGAGTGCGGGTCCGCTGAGAGACGGCGGTGGGGCGGATAAATCGGCTGCTCCGTTGCCGGCGCCGCCGAGCCAGCCACGAGCGGTGTGGAACCGCACGCTGGGAAGGGGGCCACAGATGAAGGACATGGACCACACCCCTGCATACACCATAAACATGCACTCAGACACGAGAGCGCAAGACCCGTCATTGATGTGACGTACCCGTGCTGTGAGTGGTGTGAGTGGTTCCATTCCCGGTTCGGGAATGTAGTTAGTGGCGTGGATGGTGACTCTGTTGTCCCTGTTCTTGTACACGCGACACACCTCGTCCACTTTGACTCGTCGTTTGAATTGCCTGCGTAGTATGCCCTGCGAGATGCTGATGCACTCCTTGGCCAACTCGACATCCTTCAGGCACGCCGCCCCGCCGCCCCTGCCACCGCGGCCATCGCACTCGTCCGCCAGGCAATCGCTGGTGGTGATGGTGGTGGATGGGAACCCGGGCGAGGTGGGTGTGGTGGGCGAGGTGGGCTGGGCCTGTGTGCGTGGAGTGACCTCGAGGACGGCGGACGCGATGCCCTTGCACACGGCGACCGGCTGGAGGATGTTGTTCTCGTAGGCCAGGAGGCCTTTGGTGATGGCCAGCTGCACTATGTGGCACATCTCACCCAACGTCCACTCACTGAACAGCCGTGACAACACACACACACCAGAACAGACACAGGTGTGTTGCTGGGCCCATGTGTCTTCCTCCTGCCTTTGTTTGGTGCTTACTTGGTCCAGTGGAGTGACCTCTTTTTGAGTTCCATGGCCATTCCGTATCTGCCGCCTTTGAACTGGTAGGCGAGCTCGCCCGTGGCCTCGCCCCTGCCGCAGCCCCCGTCCCGCAAGAGCGCACACAGGTAGTCTGACAGCTGCCGCCACACACGCTCGGGGTACGGGTTGACACTCGATTTCTGGTCCACCCAGCCCCTGAACCCACACGGAATGTGCTCGCTCCGCAAATACACACGCGTGGACGGCGACGGGAAGGGAAAGGGCCGCACGAAAGGGCTGTCGCGTGTGGTGGCGGTGTTGTCGTGTGGTGCGGGTGTGACTTCGTAGACGGCAGGCATGAGTGAGTAGAGGGCGAGGAAGTGCTTCTCCACCACTGGCGGCGCCTGCAGCTCCTGCAGACGCCGCTCGATGTCACAGAAGAAGGGATGGATCTGATCGATGGGCGGGTGGGCAAGCACGTCACACACAGAGACAGCGCCAAACATGAGACTCCAATCCGAAAGCTTCATCGTTGGTCGATCTGTCTATCCGCCTGCTTGTCTGCGTGTCCCTCCCTCTCTCTCTCCCTCCCTCCCTCCCTCCCTCCATCTGTCTCCCCGTCTTCCTGTCTGTGTGATCACTGCCTGATCCGACCTGCCTTCAACCTCCCTGTTTGTCTGCCTGAGCGTCTGTCTCACCTGGTCTTCGTATAGCGATGTCAGTGCATAGAGGAGCAGGGCCCGGAGGGCAGGCAGTTGACACCTCAGCTCCCTCAGGCGAGTCGGGCTGTCTTGTTGTGTCGGCCCTGCTCGCTCAAGATACTGTATGAGACAATTGCGCAGCGAAATCCACTCATCCGCACTCAGACTGCTGTCGGCAATCACCTGCAGGCAACATACGATACACAAGCAGCCATCAGATATCCACTTGACTCGCTGTGTGGGTCTCCATACGTGTGTTTGCTGTGGAGTGTCCCTGTCGCCCTCGTTCGTCGGGCTGCCAGTCGATACGGTCTCAGGAGCCGTACCCTCAGGCAAAAGGGTGCCATCATCCTCATCCTGATAGCACACGGCGGATTCAGCATGACAGGTCTTCTTGCCTCTGGCGATGCTCACCTGTAGCAGGGAACTCAGATGGTCATCGACAGTCAAGGCAACCTGCTCGGGGGAACAACAGGCAGCAAAGGACAGTAGGAGCCCGTAGGTTCAGCAAGCAGGCGGTAGCCACTGCTGTTCCTTTTTCAATGCACACCTCTTGTACGGCACTGAGGCGATCGTCGACAGTGGCTGCAGACTTGACCAACGGATCAAACAAAACCTGCACACATCAGAGGCAACAGCAATGTTCCTGTTTGTTTGTCCGTCTCATTGCAGTCCGCTCACCACAGACGGCCGCGCCTCTCGATGGCTGCGGGTATCGTCCCTATGGATCTTCATTGGTGGCTCTATTTGAGCGGTTGACTGCACCATCTGAATGAGCAGACGTGAACAGCACTAAAACGTGAACAGCACTAAAGCGACCGTTCACGTTTAGTGCTTACGCTCATTGTGTTGCCCCCTGAGGGCTTCGATCCCCTGCCTGCGTCGCCCTCCCCTCCCATGTGCACATCTGATGTCTCGACGTCTGCAGCGGCCGCAGCCGGCTGACCCTCAGGCGCTCCCATACTTGACTGCAGATTAGCACCAGATAAGCACCAGATAAGCACTGTCGCTGGCTGTGCGTGGACGTACCTGTCTGTTGGTCGACGACGCAGGCCGTTTGCGAGGCTCGTTAAATCGATGAGTGTTGTACGTCTGCTCTGGGGAGGCTGGAGCAGCTGCAGCAGGCGCCGCTGCAGTCGCGAACTCGGCACCGAAGCTGGCTGTGTGGTGTGACTGCGCCGGTGCCGCCGGTGCCGCCGGTGCTGGCGTCTGCTGCATGAGCGCGCCCTCCAGCGAATCTGATTGCTGTGAGCCGGGCAACGGGGGCGCTGGGGGATCGGGGAAGAACGGACAGATCGGCTGCTCCGTTGCCGGCGCCGCCGAGCCAGCCACGAGCGGTGTGGAACCACACGCTGGGAAGGGGGCCACGGATGAAGGACATGGACCACACCCCTGCATACACCATAAACATGCACTCAGACACAGGAGCCAAATGCAAGAGTGGGGTCATTCCATCGAGCTACCTCGGGCAGGTGATTGGTATGTGTGAAGGGCAGGTGATTGGTATGTGTGAAATCTTCCTCCTCCTTCATCTGCACAACGGAGACGTTCATCGCCGCATGAGCATATGATAGCTATTCACGTGCTGCTCCTTACCGTTATCCCGTCGGTGCCACTGTCTGCATCGGCGGCCGCTGCTGCAGCTGCAGGCTGTCCATTGAGCTGGACAGACTGCATGAGGCAAAAGGCAGGAATGAGTCCACGCAAGATGATGTTCCTGTGTCTGTTGCCCGTCCCACCTGTTGGTATCGTTTTTTGAAGCCTGCCATCCATGAGTTGCTGGCTGAAAAGGCATCGACTCCGAGCCGCCCGGCAATCTCCATTGCCTTGGCCCTGACGGCCTTCGGCGAAACACCCGTCGAACCGGCTGATGGCCTTTGGAAGGCCATCCAGTTCACGAGCTGGTCCTCAATCTCCTGGTACTTGGGCCGCCGGCTGCGCTTCTTGGTCGGGTCCGTCAGTGGCATGCCCGCCTCCCTCTGCTTCGTGATCGCGCTGTGCCACCTTTCGAAGCTTCTCACGCCGACGCCCTTCTCATGCGCGAACCGCACCATCGAGACGTCCTGTCCGGCCCGTTTGCGTTGCTTGAATTCGTCGACGAGGAGGAGCCGCTCCCCAAGTGTCACCTCCCCAGCCCTTTCGGTCGTCACCTGGAGAAAGACGCAAGGCCGCGATGAGACGACAAACAGCTGGGTGGACGTCTGTTGGCTGACACTACCTTTGAGGTATGTTGAGTTGTCGGTGGCGCTGACTGCCGAGATGGCGGAAGGGACTCTCCCCGGTGCACCCACTCACCTCCCCGGTGCACCCACTCACCAAGGGCTGACATACAGACGCGAACAGAGGCGTCGACGGGGGCCTCTGAGGGCAAATTCTCACCAGCGGCAGAATGAGGATGCATCGGGGCATCTGAACGACAGTACACATGAACCAAGCGAATGAGTCGAGTACATGTACGGTGCCCGATCTGGTGCTGCCAATTGCCACTCACCTGCGTGGCCGTGCTGCAGCTCGTCGGCCGTGTGTGCGTCACCTGCGGAGACGTTGCCATGCACTGACAGACAAGACACGGGGGATGACAGGCGTAGAGAGGCGTGCATGAGGTGGCTTTGTGGGCAGACATGTGTCAACCTGAGTCACCTGCAGGTGCCTCTGTGCTTTCCTGCTGCAGTGGCAGACCGCCCGGGCCATCGGGTTGACCGAAACCTGAAGTCGAGACCAACACACGACACAGGCAGTGCACACAGATGATTCTCAAGTGGCATTTGTTGGCGGCGCATCGTTCGTTTTGCCGACGAAATGAATATATACAGTGTACGGATGCTGCTGTTCCCAGCACTCACCGGCGGGCAGGGTCCCGTTGACACTTGGAGGCGCACAAGTCGTGGTGGCCTGCCCGTTGGCACACTCTCCTCCTGAGATCAGTCAGGCCAACAGCATACATGCCATGTGAATGAGTGCACTCGGGCATGGCCCTCTCCCTCAGCTGCTCACCCGTCTGTGTTGTGTTCGGCTTTGTGCAGGCATCCGAGTACTTTCCGTCATAACCTGACGATGCGGACCTCGATAGATGTCGGATGCGATCTGGACAGTGCGGCGCACGGGGGCAGTCCCGACCGTAGCAGTCCCGACCGTCGCCACATATCTTGCAGAAATGCTTTCCGACGTGGCAGCTGGGATACGTGTCGATGGGGACACTGCTCACACCAACGATGCCTCCACTGCTCTCACCGAGCCGCGCCTTCACATACACGTAGCACACATTTGCCAATCCCTTTCTTTGTCGGCTGTCTATGCTTTACCATGCGTTGGTCCTTGGATTAGCTTCACGCTGGAGCTGTGAGGTTTCTGTACGGCTCTACCAGAGCGGCAGATGAATAAAGGGTTGGTCAAATCAAGCACCACAATCTGTCGCAGCGTCCAATCTGTAGGAGAGAGAAGAGGAGGCAATATCAAGGAGTACATACGTGTGCAGTCAGGCAGGCAGATACGTACCGCCTCGTGGATTCGAGAATCACACAAGCGAATCACACCTGTGTGAAGCGCACAACACACCCAGAAGCATCACATAGGATGAGGAATAACATCGTGACGTTGTCAGTCAGGTCACAGCTCACCTGTCTTGTCTTGGTCGCCAAGGGCGATGATCTCTCGATGATCTCTCAGTCCTCCATCCACGACGCTTGCAGACCATCCAATTATGACTTCGCTTGTGCCTGTTAAGCGAGCGATGCGATGAGTAGTGTCGTGAGAGGTGACGCGAGATCAGCAGATGGCACACTAACACGGGAAGGACCCAGAACGGTGATTCATGGTGGCACAGCGTACTAACTTCATCAGGAGCCCTTCCAAGACACTGTGCCCAGTGGTGTTGAATTGACCTTCGGAGGCGGCGAGTTTCATTAGCTCGCAGGAGGCCTCCCCCTTGGGTGTTGGACGTCGTGTGAGGCTCCTTTCGTTCATGGAACAAGTATGCACCAAGAAACAACGGTCCACCGGCAGGCAGGCAGGCGGCGAAACGGGTCACAGGGAGATGAGATGAACTGAGACAAAAGGTTCACCCTCTACCTGACATTTAAGTGTGTGACAATGCCCATTTCGTACAAAGCACAGACGTGAATGACAAGCAATACCGTCCTCTCGGTCTCTCTCTTTTCTGTCTCCCCGGCTTGGGGGGGGAGGGCAAACCAAGTACGTGTCAGTTCACTCATTCATTCATTCAAGAAGGTCCGTACGGGAGATCGGGGAGTGAGCTGATCTGAGGGACAAAAAGGTCGTCGACAGCCAGTCACACCCTTCCTCACAAAAGGAAACACACATATATCATACCAAACGTATGTATACCACATCCGACCAACTACAAGCAAGAAACGGCAAAACTGTGTTGAGGAAATGCCGTACGTCCTCTGTGCGCGAAAGTGAGTACGCCCTTCACCAAGAAAGTTTCTCACCCGTCAGCCACTCCTCTCCCAGCTAGTTTCTCTCTCCTTCAAAGTCACTCTCTCCCACTGCTCTCTCTGTCTCTCCCCCGGTGCAGCATGAAGTCGGACCATCCGTACGTATCCCATAGAAGGAAACACACCCACACGGCCGTACACGTTCACACCGATCGTGTGAAAAGAAAGGAGAAACACACACATACACACAATACACATACATACACACACACACACACACAGAGAGAGAGAGAGAGAGAGAGAGAGAAGGAAAGATGGGCAGGTAAAGAACACACATGAATCCACTCCCCATCCGCAGGGGTACCCCATCGTATGTGTACCACACGCGACCGACTGCGCACACCGTACGTATCAATGGCAAGAAAGTATGTACGAGCGGAGAACAAAAGATCGTCGACAGCCAGTCGCTCCCTCCTTACCATGAACAAACCCACCCACACACACACACACGGCCACATGTAGACGTTCACACCGGAAAAGACAGGAGAAACACACACACAGAGACAGACAGACAGACAGATACATAGGTAGGCAGGCAGACAGACAGATGGATGGAAAGGGACACTGCATCGATCAGGCCACACACACATGGACAGATGGACCCCACCCTCCCTCACATGCAGCCCACATGCAGGCATACGTGCAGTTCGACTGCACGTGCCACCCTGTCAGTCACCCCTCTGCCCCTCCTTCGTCAAAAAGGGGTGGGTGAGCTTGTAGACCAGCCCCCTGCACCCCTCCAAATGGGTGGTGGCCTCGTAGAGGTCGTCACCGCAGAGGGCCTTCACTCACGCCATCACCTTGGGCAAGTTGCGCCGGGGCATGTAGGGCACCTTGCCACACACACACACACACACACATACAAATACATGAGCATCGGCTATCAGTGTGTAAGTGGCGACCCTACCAGGTGGTGCTCAACGTGGTAGTCGAAGTGCCCCACCCAACAGGAGACGACGGCGTCAAGGGACGCCACCAGTGCCCACACCACGAGGCTTCGTGGCTGCTTGCCGTTGGCGCCGTGGAGGCCGTAGCCCAACGCCACAGCGTTGTGGTTTTGGGTGGTCTTCGCCTGCTGCTCGACGAATCCCTGATCCATTTTCTCCCGGAACTGGTGGACGTCGATGGCGTCGAAGCTGAAGTGGTTGAGGGAGGCGGCGATGCCCACGAGAACCATTCCCACCTCTTGGGCCAACAGGAGCCACACGGCGTAGTGGAGGGAGACGTTGAAGCTTAGGTGGCAGGCGAAGGGCAGCAGCAGACGGACAGGGACCGCGACGAGGCAGACCACGTCCTTCCTCTTGAACGCGTCGGCCACCGACCTCAAAACCTCCATCGGGAACATCAGCCACACCACCACAGTGAACCAGAGAAATGCGCCCCACGTGGCGGCAAAAGCCTCGGCGCTGCTGAGGGCTCCGGCAGAGTCGCCCGGCACCTGCGATTTGTGCCAGTACACCAGCGGGGCGGTGTCGAGGGACTTGTCGCGGCCCACGACGTGGGTGAAGGCGTGGTGGGCGTCGTGCACAATGGCTCCCACTGACCAATCGATGCCCCCGACCACGAGGGAAAACCACCTTGTGAAGCTGCACACACGTGCGGACACAACCACACAGTGTGTTGAGTGCACAGATTGGTGCCCCTCCCTCACACACCTCTTGGCTCGTTCCTTCGTCGTGAAGATGGACTGGTGGAGGGCGTCGTGGACGAAGTATAGCATCAGCACGTAGCTGAGCGAGCCGCCGATGAAGCTGCCCACATAGACCAGCCGCCCCGACCAGTCGGGGGCGATTCGCCCTTGAATGCAGCAGTGGGCGACCCAAAAGGAGATGAGGAACAGCACAGGGCCCTGCATGTCCCACAACCAGTGCCGCCAGGGGTAGGCGAACAGCCCCTCGGCGGCGAAGTCGTCGATGAGTTTGTGCATGGCCTTGTCGTGGCTGCACATGAGGCCGAAACGGTCGGTGAGGTAGCCGACCCAGCTGACGCTCAGCCGCGTCAACACGTTCTCTGACTTGAGATGAGAGGTGTAGAACCAGAGCGAAGCGTCCTTTCCTGAAACACAAACCAACCAAGCAACAAGTGCATGTGCGTGAAGAACACAAGGCAAGCAGGCAGTGCATGTGTACTTCCCTCATGTACAGGCCTTACCGACGAAATCGGCGAGGAAGTCTCCGCCTGGGTGTTTGGGCTTGCCGTTGTTGTCATTGCCGATGAGTCCCGCCACGTCATACACGCTCCCGTTGATGACGGTCCACAGTCGACCATCCTCCTCGACTGCACGCCGAAAGTCGGCCGGGGTGACCCACTTGCGACGCTTGGCCTTGAGGAGCTTCTCATGCTCGCGAAGCACGTCGAGGCGGTCGTCGTTGCTGACTTCAGAGAACCTGCAGATCCTTGGCCAACGAGCAGCCTGCAACCAGACAGCGAGTCCACAAAGACACACCCAGGGATCTGCGTGTGCGCGTGTCGTCATAGCTCGATCTCGTCTGCGCGTACCGAGGTGCTGGTGGACGATCACCACCAGGGCCGCTGTGATTGAGAAGGCTGCTACGACGGTGGGGGGAAGGGCGTGGTCGCAGCCAGTCAACGAGAGGACTGCAGCCATGAGCCGGTCAGCAGCGAGGACAGCCGCGGCCGTCAAAAGGCCGGGGGTGAGAAAGTTGACGCTGCGCCGCACGTCCATGACCCTTGCAACACGGCGAGACCGTCACACTGACCAGCCACGCAGCAGAGAAGCGGATCAAGCAAGGAATCGGGAAATCTGTCCTTCGCTTATCCGTTTCCCGGTCTTGTTGTCTCATTGGCTATCCTCACAGACTGCTCAAATGCACACACCAAGAGATGCAGAGCCCAAATGGACGTCTGCAGCGACAGACACGGCCACTCTGCCCCTGCAATGACACAGCAAGTCGCACCCCGCAAAGCGGCCACTGATGCGGTTCGAACTCGGGACCTTTGTCATTGGTGACGTCACCGAAAGGAACGAAGAAGCAGAGCAGCCGTCGACGTTCTGCAATGACACACAATACCATATCGCGTGTGACGTGTGTCCATCAGTCCATCAGTGCAAGTCAGCTCATCGTCGTCATGAGGTCGCCGCCCACTGCTGCTGCTTGGATCCTGGACAGGATGCATCCACCTTGGCTGGACTCGGTAGTCAGTGGCGGCCGACAGGGAAGACATTGACGGACGACACCCAGCAGCATCAGCAGGCACCCACCACTGTGTCCATCAGTGAAAGGCGCGGCATGCAGGCGCCCACGAAGCAGACGCACCGTAGCCGTCAAGTGCACCTTCAGCCGCACCACCTTCAGCACTCCATCGGCGTCTGATGGTGATGTTAAACCATCGGTCTCTGCAAGTAACAAACAGACACACATCACTTGTGAGGTGTTCATTTGTCCAGCTCGGCTTATCGTCGTGGTGCCGTCGAATTGATTGGGGCGGCAGAGGTGGGGCCAACCGACGAGGGCACGAAAAGGAGAGAAATTGAGGGCGTCAACCGACGCCGACAGGCACTCAGATCCTTGTTCATCAGCGACGGAGGGCGGGAGCCGTCCTTCTCCTCCACAATACATCGCACCCCACAGACGACGGAGACGGCTCCATTACGCAAAACGAGCGGTCAGAGAACGGACAGGCGGCCGTCCGAGCGACAGAAGGATAGTCAGGCTTCGGTAGCAACACAGATTCCTTAAGAACCATCTCGCTTCTCCCTACCGATGTAACTGTCGCCGAGCTAGGGCAGAAAACTGTTTTCCGAGGTGTGACACACACATGTACCTAACCTATCCATATCATACTATCTGCGTTTTTATCTTGCGATGCCGACAGAACCAATGTTCTCCTGACGCGTACGCGCACTCATACGTATACACATACATCCACAGACACACACACACACACGCATACACAGGTGAATCCATATACGCCCCGCACGGGGGGGGTCTTGTGGCACGGCACACGGAATCCTGCATGCACACACGCCAACACGGATGTAGTGATAGGTGCTCGTGAATGGGTGTACATACCGCACTTTCACATTCTGCCTGCCTCGAGCAAAGCCAGCAGCGCCCCCGACGATTGGATCACCCGCATGGGCACATCACATGTGCTCTGTGTGTGCCCCATGCATCCAATCAACGCAGTATTAGCTACACACACAATACGCAATACTCACGCGATATTAGCTACACACAGGCAATATACAGATGTATGTGTGGTGTGTACTAACTCAGTGGCTCACCAGTGAGTAACACATGCGCTGGTGCACTCATTCTGTATACGAGTAGTCGACTTTGATGTCGCCGAACGAACGACGCACATGGATTCCGCTACTCATACAGATAGAAACGCCTCCATCCACCCATGGTCCATCCATGTGTGTGCCAGCTGTGTGTCTGTCTGTATGTGTATGTGTGCACATGAGCGGATGTGTGTGCACCTCAGCGGTTTGTCAGCGGCGTTCGGATTGATGTGTGGATCGAACGAGTCGTCGGCTGACGAGGCACCTGCAAAGAAACACGCACACACGCAGACACACGTGTACAGTGACACCCTCAATGTAATCTGTGTAGGGCATTCATGCCATGCATCCGTCTTCAGGCGTGTGGGTGCGCACCTGACTCGCCCACATAGCGCCACACCTGACGGCCGACGAGGGAGCCGGTCAGCTGACCTGTATCTGAGTGGCCCAGCCATAAGTCTATGTATGTCTTGGGGTGTCTGTGTGTGTACCCTTCTCGTCGTCCTGCACTGATTCATCGCTTGATGTGAATACCCTATGAATATACACACATATACATTCGCACACACATTTGGACCTCGCACAAATGAAGGGACGGACACTCAGCGCACCATCTTTGTGTGGCCTCGCCCGGTTTCTCTCTTCAGCTCCTCGTCAGGCACAGCGGGGAAACACGGGTACCTGACACACACACAGAGAGAGAGCCGCACACACAGAGCGTGAGCCAGATCTGCAGGTGAGATGCGTCACCGCATAGATGCGCATCTACATGTCCACCTGGCCTTGGGGCGACGCCTCTTGGTGCATTGCTTCACCAGCGAGGCGAATCCGCATTGGAAAGGCGACACTATAAGCGACAACACGTCCATCTGCCTCCTTTCACCGCCTGCGAGCTTGGCTTCGACCCGGCTCGCAAAGGCAGAACGAACTGACTCATCGCACGACTCTCTCACCCGCTGTCACTGCTTGACTTAGAGGCACCTGTCATCCTCAAGCATAGATCATCCCTCCCCGTCCCTCCGGCGACGACCAATAGCCATGGTGGTGTGGGTGCTGCTGCTGATGTCGATGCTGCTTCCATTCATCTTGCCGTCGGCATCTGGGTTCCTCCTGCCCCGCCCGAGCCAGCGACTGAGAGCACCGGCTGCCCAGAAGGTCACCCGACTGAGTCAGGAGCAACAAAGGGAGGCTTACGATTGGGCTCTGACGCACATCGAGGACATCGTGTCGCCTCCCTTCTTCATCGAGGGCACCATTGACAGTGCTGTGCCGGTCATCAGAGGCAAGACGGGAGACTGGGCACTCGACTTATCGGAGAATCAGAAGAAGCTTGTGAGAGAGAGAGAAAGGTGGTCTTACATAAGAGACTTGGCGCTTGACTCATCGAAGAATCAGAACGCTAGCTTGATGATTCAGAAGGTGTTGAGGGAATCATCGTGGTTTGACGACTGGAATCTGCTTTCAGAGGAGAGTTTGAATGCTGCGTATGCGTCCGCCACTCAGTCACCGGTCGGCTTGCTTGGCGAAGAGCCAGGTGACAGGGTGGATTTTGAGCATCGCAAGTCGAGGGAACTCGCAGCCAGCGATCTGCACATACAGGGAACGGTATCGCCTTGGACGGCTGATCGAGAATTCAATATCACTGACAGCACCAATGGCACATGGACTGCAGTCATTGAGGAAATATGTCAGGAAGTGGCCGATAGGCTTTCGCCGGGCAGCGAAGTCAAAGCAGAACTATACAAGGTAAACGGTCTTGTTAACGTGATGTATGACTACAATTTACTTGCGAGCCTTGCTCTCCATGATGATCCACATCTATGTTGTCATCGAAGATGCTGATTTACGGCGAGGGGGACCATTTTGCAAAACACATCGACACACAGCGCTCGGCAGACATGTTTGCGACGCTCATCGTCTCTCTCCCGACCAAGTACGAAGGAGGAGCTTTCACACTGTGGAAGGATGGAAAGGCTCATGAAACCAGCGATTCTACTTATGGTCTACCCTGGGTAGCCTTCTATTCTGACGTGCCACATAGCGTCGAGACAGTCACTTCGGGCTATCGCTGTGTCCTCGTATACAATCTCAGCCGCCGGCAAGTTGGAAGGCCAGAGGTGCGGAGAAGAAGGGGGGAGAAACTGTCATTAACCGTAACACTCGTCTGTGTGTCCGTGATACTCATACAAATACAGTCCCATCAGCACGCAGAGTCAAACAGGCTCAAGGGGAGGAGGGATCAATCCCCGCCCCATCAGCACACCCCAGTCCCGCAAACCCTCCCCTCCCTCCCCCACGCAGACAGAAGCTAGTCGCACGCGCGAGGGCGATAGACAAGCGAGAGCGAATCCATCCAGACACATGACTGAACCCCCGACCCTTCCACCCCTCCTTCTCCAACAGCGCATGAGCCATGTGGGCGATGAACACGTTGGCATCGTGTCCCCACACACCGTCACACGTCACCACCAGAGGGCAGAAGGTCACGCGGGAGTCGCAGACGGCCGAGCGGTATTTCTTCTTCTTGGCGGTCTCGTGCTGCTTCAGGATGGACTTGGTCGATCGGTTCTTGGAAGCGTAAGACGGTGCGGAGAAGAAAGATTACGGAGAAATTTGTGGGGTCACTAAAACAGTGGTTTCAGGAGAAGGACAGAGAGGTATCCTCATGTGCGTGCGCCGGACGCGTGCGTCAGAAGGTATTTTTGTTGTGTGTGTTTTCAGGCCTTGGCGATCGCCCTCGAATATGAGTACACCCCTTCGAGCATTGGCGTGGAGTATCTGAAGGGCAGGGACCGACTGCTCTATGACATATTGGCCGAGCACTTCAACATCAGTCTAGAGATAGTTCATCAGAACTGGAGGGCCATAACAAAGGATAAAGACGAAGACTACCGTTTCACGCTCTGCGGGTTGAATGTTGTCGACCCTCGTTATCTCGAGCTGCTCGATGGGAGCAACGACAAAAGGGCGTGGCGCTGGTTTCTCGCCTTGGAGGATGACGAGTTTTCTTCAGGCAAGCATTGTTCATTTTCAGCCAAAGATCACCGGTTCTGACTGGTGTATCTTTCGTGTCTCTCTCCTCTTTGTTCCATTCAATGCAGATTACATTGAGAAGTAAGCGACAGAAATGGGCGCTCATTGCTCTCCGTGAGTGACGACTTGGAAACGCTTTGGTCTATACAGGTTCGGCAAAAGGAAGTCGCTTGTTGGATTGAATATCGGTCATCAGACAAGCAGGTTCGAGCCCGACGAGGACGACACAGGGCCGATCTTTGCAGAAAAGCCATAGACCATCAAGACAGAGATGGTGCGATTGGGGAATGAGATGGGCCTAGGTGAGTAAGATACTCGAACAGATTCATCGACAGCTCACATCGCTCACCCACTTGTATGTGTGTGCGGTCTGCAGCCCATTTCCAGTATGTGAGCGTCGCCTTGGTCATCCACGGACCCAAATAAAGCAGACAGACAGACAGACAGGGCAAGTGTCTCTCGAGGTTTGAGCTGGTGTCTGGTATCAGCCTATGTGATGTCTCTGCTTCGTGTGGTACGGTGTGCCATGTGTGGGACAATAGGACGGATGGACATGCAGTCATTGACGGTACAAGCACGGAGACAATTTTGGCATACGAGTAAGGAAGGCGAGGCACATGCACACGCGAGCCATGAAGCATCGGCACCAACCCCGTGCCTTGAGCAAAAGCTGAAGCTGCTTCTCCTCCCTCTTGTCGCTCCCAAGTCATCTTCCACGCCTTCACTTCGCTGTCTCGCATCATCTTGTCCTCACCATACGATAGGTCAAGCCGAATTGGTTCTCGCGTCATGGTTCTGTTGGTTTCGGTTCTGTTGGTCTCTCCGCTATGGACACTTCCATCCAGCCGCCCTCTTCTGTCTCCTTCTCACTGAAGCGCTCCTCGCAATCGATGAGGGGCTGTCTCGCGCGCGTCAACCAAGTAGACATTCTGCTGGCGATCGATGAGCAAAAAGAGACCAGAGGACGTCTCGCGATCTCCCGCCGCAAGCGTGACGAGTGAGCAGTGGTGCTGCAGGAGAGGGAAACATACAAACAAACAGCCAATGTAAGAAACATCAAAAGGGGCCATGTGTGTGCGCTTGTCCCTCGATACCGATAATCCTCTTCTCGTCCGGCGCTTTCCCCTTCGGCAGCGGGGCACTGTCTCTCGTCGACTGTAGGGCTGCACACAGGACATACGCACAGCCACCAAAAGGAATAAGTAGAGCATGTATGCTTGAATCTCTCCCGTGCAATCGAGTCTACGCCCACCTGTTCTGAGTTTGTTGAGGTGCCGCCTCAGGTGGTGTGGCGGGCGAGACGTGGTCGGCCCTGTCAGCATTGGGCAGCGACCGCCACCACTCCTCCGAGTCGTCATTGTCGATGGAGAAGGGCACCTCACTTAGAGAAAGCTCTGCTTTATCCTGAGCCGATGCACTGCTGACGCAAACGACATACAGATGAGTGAGTGTGTCTTTGGTGTGTCTTGTCTTCATTCTCAGTCGCCTGAATCACACACCTCGTATTAGAGATGTTGGCGACTGCAGCTGTCTCAGATAGTGCTTGAGCGGCGCAAGCCTGACCTCCCTCATCCCTGCATCAACGCAGCACAGGGACGGCAGAGCGATGCCGCCCTTGTTGCAGCAGCACAGATCGGCTAAGTGCTGACCACCTTGGGGGGGGATTGTCTTCTTCTACGCCTTCGTAGCTGGCTTTCACCTCGAAAATCGCAGTGAGGATGTCCAGTTTGGCCTCGGCGGGGAGGCACTGCTCAATGACGTATCGCTGCGCGACCTGAGAGGAGAAACAGCACAAACATCTAGCCACGCGCTGTGTCTCTCTTTGTTTCTGGATGGATACCTGCGCCGGCTTCTCATCATCGTAGAACACCAGATGGGTCCGCCAGGTCGGGCCGCTGCTACACTCGAGTTCAAGGGTTATCGGGTAGTCCGGGCCCGTCACGTTACCCCTGGAGGCAGGCAGGCAAGAAGGCAAGAAGGCCGAATGTGAGACACGGCGTCAACGGCGATGCTATCTTGTTCGCTCACCTTCTCTGTTCCTTCCTTTTTTGGTCTGACAGAGCCGCTGCCATACCGACTTCATCCTCAGGCTCCAAACCCTGCTCAAGAAAGAATCGATGGGCCACCTGAGCACAGCACGCATAGAGACAGAGCACGCAGCGCACACGCAGCTTAGTCAGGCCAGCTACGGCGTTGTTGTCGGCGTACTCTCTTTGGGTTCTCTGAGTAAAAGCACACGACGTACTTCCGTTGAGACCGCTCCAGGCGGATATAATGCCAACGCGGTGCTGGTTCCTTGCTGCCGCAGGACAGTGAGACACGGCCAAAGGAGTATTGGAACGCACAGTAGAGGGCAGGCCATCCGTGTGTGTCTGTGTACCGTTCTTGTGTGTCTGCTCCACGGCCCTCTCGGTCAACTGGAGAGCCCTGCGATTTCTCGAATGTTGACCTGCACACAAGGCATATCCAACCGCCAAACAGAACACACGATGTCATGTCTCTCGTGCAACCGAGCCCATCCATCCATCCATCCACCCATCAGCTACCTGGCGTGAGTTTGTTGACCATGCAGTGATGGGTCATGGGCAGATACAGGCAGCTCTGATTCAGCAACGGGCACTCGCGGCCGATAGTTTGACGCAGTGGGCCCTCCTTGGGCTGCAGGGGCGGTTTTGGTGGGAGCTGCAGCGCGGGTATGGCATGGTTGACGGTCTCCTTGCGGCCAAGCAGTGGTGAGTTGGGTGGCGTCGACCACCCTGTTGGCAGCGATGCTTGGTACCTCTGCTTTTGGGCTGTCTTCCACGTTGGTTGCTGGAAAGTCTTCTGGGGAGGAGCCGACACGGATGATGTGCTCGGTCGCGTGGCGGTGGTCCGCGTCTTCGATGCTGCTCGCCTCGGCTGTTTCAGGCGTTTCCTCATGACGGCCGTTGCGAAGAATGGAACTGAAGAAAGGGAGCGACAATGTCATGCGCCTCATTCACTCTGCAACCGCTGCCGTCTCACCCTTATCAAGAGCATCAAGCCACGAGAAGGCGCCGCGAGTGGTCCGAAGTCGAGCAGTGCCACTCGACATGCTCACAATCGTTTGATGGTTGATATGAACAGATGACCGTTGTTCAAACCGATGAGGACGTTGTGATGAAAAGCGCTGAGAGAAGCGGACAGCAGCAGGTGCTCCCCCGAGACTGAGACTCGGTCTCAGCCCCCACATCTGGGGGCCGGACTTGCATCATGCATGCAGCTCGCACTCTCCGTCATTGCAGACCATCATTGCCGGGCGCAGGGCAACGCAAGGCAGCCGCGGGCCCTTATCGCCTGCACTGTAGCGGCTTCCAGCCGTCCTTTCTCTTCATCCCATTGCAGTTCTCACCTTTCATCCATTCATCGGCATCGGCGGCATCGGCATGCACTCCCATCGCCCACTTCTCTTCGTGCTGTCCCTCTTGCCGTCTCTGATCCTCCTTCTGATAATGCCAACCAGCTCATCGCGTCAGCCAAGGCCAAGGCAGCAGCCCCTTGTCATGCCCGCGATGCCATCTGTAGACAATGACGAGTCAGCCGACGATTTGTCCGACCAGTGCCGCATCGACGACCATCCGCCTCGATGGTTCACACAGAACTTGGACCACTTCTGGCAGACCGAGTGGTCGCCACGCACCTTCTGGCAGCAGCGGTACTGGCAGAACCTGACCTTCGCATCACGCCGGCGGTGGAGGAGCTGCCAGACGCTGTGGTGCCTCCCATGTTTGTCTATGTGGGCGGGGAGGGGCCGCTCAACTCACAGGCCACTGAACTCGGTCCGTCAGCCGCCACGCCACACCACAACACAACGGAACACTTTCGAATGTATGTATGTGTGTGGGTGTCTGTGTCAGGGATGGTAGTGGAGATGGCGTCATATTTCGGGGCATATCTGTATTCGCTGGAGCATCTGTTCTCTCTCTCTCTCTCTCTCTCTCTTTCTGTCTCTCTCTCTCTCCGATATGGCCTGTCTGCCTTTCATATATGCAGGCAATATTGCCGCATTCGCCCGTGCGAAATTCCCAGAGACCATCACGGGAGCCATCTCGTCATCGGCTCCCATCGAGGCGCGGGAGAAGTACACTGAATACGACGCCGTCGTCGAGGACTCCATACCACGAGACTGCGCCAAGACCATCCGCAAGGCCACCAAGATCCTGGAAAGACGGCTGCTGCAGCCACCCGTCACGCCAGCAATGCGGCGGAGGTATGGCGGGGACGTCTATAAGCACAGCAGAGCTTCAAGGGAAGCCCGACGGATCTTCGATCTCTTCGGGTGCACGGGCCTCCCGGCGGAGACATATGACGATGTGGTGGACTTCCTGTTCATAGCGGCTGACAAAGTGTCGACGGCAGTGCAGTACCACACCTCGAAGGTGCGGCCCTACATCGACAACATGTGCCGCATATTCAAGGGCGAGAGAATCGCTATCTCGAAGCCCGCCAGCCCCCCGCCACACAAAGTGAGGCCACGGTTCCCCAAAGACACTGCGACGCAACACGCCGACGAGGCCCGGGAGGCGCCGTCGTTCGTCGAGACACTGTCAGAGCCGATGCGAATGGGGATCATAGCTGGCGAGCCGAAGCTCCCCTTCCCCCCCACAGCGCCGTTCTCGCCTTATCCGCTTCGCTTGGTGCCACACACACTTGGGTCACCGGAGGCCTCTGAGCTGTCGAATGACACCGACACTGACAGCGAGATGGCTGAGGAGCGTCTGCTGCGTGATTTTGGCTGGCTGTCGGTGTACCTGACGAAGGCCACGGGGCAGGACTGCGACTTCCACGACATTTTGCACCACGAGGACACGAAGCTCGACGAGTCGGCTTCCCAGCGGCTGTGGATGTGGCAATCTTGCAGCGAATATGAGTACTGGCAGGTAAGGAAGGACACAAACACGCGTCCATCCAGGCTGGCTGAGACAGACACATCTTCCCTTACGTCCTTTGTGTGTGTGTTAATTGCCTTTAGGTGGGGTTCCCCCATTCGATGCGATCAGAACTCATCGACGTGTCATTCGCCCATCGCGCCTGCGATCACACCTTCCCCTTACCATATGGTCAGTCGGACTCTCAGTCGCTCAGCAGAGCCACGATAGAGACACGACACACACAGCACATAGAGAGAGAGGCTTCTCTCCCTCCCTCTCTCTCTCTTCAGGCGCTAAGTGGACATCGATGGCGGCGCGTGAGAATGCCCTGTGGGACGGGAAGCAGCTGACGGGTCGTTTGGGGTCTGCCCAGCCGCCCAGCCGCATCCACTTCACCAATGGGCAGACGGACCCATGGCAGATACTCAGTGTCGAGAGCACCGACCTGGGACAGCACCCGCTGCCGGATGTGGATGCCTACGAGATCCCCGTAAGCAGAGCAACCGAGACACTCATGCCGGCAGCCAGCCAGCATCGTGTGTGTCTGTCTGGGGTGTGTCGTCCACCGTGTTTGTTGTCAAATGGATGGATGTAGGGCGGTTCTCACTGCCTGGACTTCGGTGCCTCTCACCCGGCCGATTCTGCGGGTGTGCGGCATGCACGCGAGCTCATTCGGGAGAGGATACAGCAGTGGACCGACGCTCACTACAACGAGTGGCTCGAAGCTTCGAGTACTTCATCATTTAGCTACCGCAACCTGTGTTTCGACAAGACGCGGCACAGGGCGCTGGTGAGGTGTGGGAGAGATGCCACATTCGTCCCTGAGAGCAACGTCCTCACCGCTGCTGCTGATGACTACCATGGCCAGCAGCAGCAGCAGCAGAGCAACACCACCACCATCACCACCACCACCACCAGCAGCAGAGGGGGGGAGATAACTCAGACCCTTGTGGCTGTGGACGTTGTGTGCGGCAGCAAGGGAGACACAGACACACATGTGGTACTGGTCCCCATATCCCGTGATGCTTATGGTGCGGTTGACGAGGGGCGTCTGGAGGATGCGTTGTATGAGAGGCTGAAAGGTGCGCTGCTGGAGTGCTATCACGGCCGGGGATTTCGCTACTGGGTGTCGGGGGTGCGGACCGGGGGGAGGGGGGACGCGGGGACGCGTATGATGAATATGACCACTCGTGTGCTGGCATGACATACATGAGGCGACAGATGGATGGATGGATGGACGTGATACTCATACACAATGTGCCTTGCCGGCTCGCTGTGTGCGTATGGGATGGGATGTGCGTGTGTGTGTGTGCGCATTGCGTGAGTGGGTGGATGGGTGGGTGTGCTGGGCACTCACTGCTCATCGACTCACTCACTCCTAACTCCTAAGGGCCAGCCAAGAAGAGACAGACGATCTTTCGTTTGGTTGGTTGGTTCGTTCTTCCTTGCTCACTGCTCGTGTGTGTGTGATGGATGGGATGGTCGACAAGACAAGACGTGATGGCGTTCGTTTGCAACGCTTACATGTACTCACTCGTTCATTCATCACGCTGCCCACCAAGTGTTACTTACAATGCACACAACACATACACGAACAGACAGACACGTGGAGGGTTCGCAACCAGCTGTGTATGGATCTCTAGATAGCAAATGAGCACCCAAACCCACACCCATCCACTCATCCAGGCAGACAGGCAGGCAGACAGGGGTGATATGTACACACACACACACACACACACGCAGACACACACATTGGTGCATTCGTTGGTGTGTTTGTCTTCTGTGTGCTGCTGTCTGTCTTGATATTAGAATCTCTCTCTCTCTGTAAGTCTGTCTGTCTGTAAGTCTGTCTGTCTGTCTGCCTGTAGGTGACTATGGCCCGCTCTCCCTCCCCCCTCGCGCACACACAGCAGCCAGCCAGCCAGCCAGCCATTCAGCCGTTCAGCCATTCAGCCAGTATTGGTTGCTAACTTATCTAACAGAGGCGGGGCTGCACTCAGTGGGTGAGAGCGAGAGAGTGCGGCCCATCCATCCATCCATCCCGCCCTCAACACATCAACCACACACACGCACACCTGTATAGCTAGCTTTTTTTGCTATTCTACCCTATACAGCCCTCTCACAGTCAGCCACCCTGTCAGCCAGCCAGCCAGCGAGCCAAGTAAGTGCTCTTTCTTCTCGTGTGTGCGATCACGTCGGCCAGGCCGGGCGGGCGACCTGCCGACCTGCATGTCTGTCTATACGTGGTTTGCAACGGACAGCCAAGCAGCCCACACGCGACCACACTCACTCGGTGACACACTTGCACACGGACAGACAGACAGGCAGCCAGGGGGCCGCAAGCAGTCGCTTAGCTTCACCACGTCAGCCAGGCAGGCATAAGCAGCCAGGCAGCATAGGATAGCAAAGAAAGGACCACAAGACGATCACGCAATGTTGCAATGCATTCAATGCAATTGCCCGCCCTATTCTATACATACATCCAATCACCCTCACGGCACCGCCCACTGGCAGGCACATCACACCATCAAAAAGGACAACAAGAGCATTGATTGCATCTGATGAATGAATCAGCCAGCCAGCCAAGCCGCCAGCCAGCCAGCCAGTGAATTATTAGTCAAGACCCCTCCCTCCCCCCTCCCTCTTTTATGTACAAGCAGCACGGTCGGCCACCCACACACATCTCCACACACACACACGCAGAGAGAGCCGCCCCTATGGAATGTACCGCTCGTTCACTCACGCCTCCAGCCCATTGCTAAACATAAGGGCCGGCTTGGGCTGTGCGCCGCCGCCAGTGTTGCTGGTGCTGCTGCTGGTGGGGCTGGTGCTGCTGCTGGTGGGGCTGGTGCTGCTGGAGGGGCTGCACTCCCCCACCCCGATTATCATACCGTTGCTAGTGCTGCCGTTGGCGCCAGTGATGGTGATGCTGCCATTGCCATTGCCATTGGTGGTGCTGTTGCTGTTGCTGATGGTGCTGATGCTGGTGGTGGTAGAGTTTGTGTCGGTGGAGTCGGATCGTTGCGGGGGCGCCTTCCAGAGCTGCTGCAGGATGTTGCCGTAGTTCTTGGGGCAGCTGTAGTCGCACTCCAGGCGGTAGTAGTCACAGGTCTTGGTGAACCCCTCACGACGACACGCCTCGTACAAACACAAGTTCCTGTGAGGAGCTCACACGAGACGGACAGATGAGCGTTCGGTGTGTGGTTGTGCGTACTTGACACATTTGTGCGGCAGGTTGACGCTAGCCAACTGCGAACTCCTCTCGCCGCCCTGCAAGGCCACCAACACACACAATAGCCATGGCTCTTGACACAGATGGTGCCAGCACATGATGTGGCTGTGCCACATGTGGGAGTGGCTGCTTCTAGCTGTGCAGCGGTGCTGTGCTGTCCTGTGCCGTGCTGTGCTGTGCCCTCTCTGCCTGCACTCCCCCCTCCCCTCACATACGTAAGTACCTCTGTGCTCATGCCTCAGGAATGGAATGGCTATTCGGTACTCCGCGCTCTGTCCTGCCCTGGCCTTACTGCGGCCACACACCTGGCCGCCTTTGCCTTCTTTTCTCGCCCAACTCACCGTTACTTCTGAGCTCGCATTGGCGCATGCAGGACATTCCGTGAAACCGCTCTCACATATTGGAGAGGGAAGGACGCGGCGCGTGGTGTGTATGCAGCGGTGTCCATGGCTTGACTCCTCATATCAGCCATCTCTCTGTCCGTCATCAATCGTCTGCCGATAACAATGTCATCTGCCGGCGAGGTGTCATTGGTTGACCTGGATGTGGAGGAGCTGGAGCGAGAGCTCGACAAGTACGCGCAAGACCCCGCCATCGCCGCCGCTCTCAAAGACGGCAAGGCGCTGCACCAATACACTCAGCAGGTGGGCCGCCGGATGATATGCAGCCATGGCACATGACGCAGACAGACAGGCACACAGACGGACAGACAGACGAGAGATGCATGTGGTTGTGTGTGGTGTGGTGACTGTGGTGATGTCAGGTTGACAAGGAGCTGCGTGGTCTGGAGCACGAGAGTGTGGATGAGTACCTCAAGTGCCAGGGCGACCTGCTGTCGCTGCACACAGACATCCAGCTCTGCGACAGCGTCCTCGAGAAGATGGAGGCCATGCTGACCAACTTCCAGTCGGACCTCGGCGGCATCAGCCGCAAGATCAAGCGGCTGCAGCAGGACTCTCTTGACATGAACGGCAAGCTGCAGAACCGACGGGTGGCCGCAGAGGTCCTCAACACCTACCTCAGCCACATTGTCGTCACCCCGGACCTGGTGCACGCCATCTGTGAGGGAGAGGTCGACGACCACTACATCGGCCGGCTCAACGACCTCACCAACAAGCTCGAACACGCCACACAGCCCGGTCTGGCCGAGCATCCGTCGAGCGCCGCGTCGATCCCCGAGCTGGAGCGGCTCAAGACCAAGGCCATCTCGCGCATTCGCGACTTCCTGATCTCGAAGATCAACCAGCTCAAGAAGCCCAAGACCAACGTGCAGATCATCCAGCGGAATGTCCTGGTGCGGTTCAAGCCCCTCTACACCTTCCTGACCGACCACCACCCCAGCGCAGCCCACGACGTGCAGCAGCTGTATGTCCACACGATGCAGCGGCTGTACCTCACCCAGTTCAAGACCTATGTGCAGTCGCTCAGCCGCCTGCAGCTGGAGCAGACGGCCACGCGCAACGACCTGCTGGGAGCCATGGACAGCGGCGGGGCGGCCATGCAGGCGGGCGGTGCGGGCGGGGTGGGGCAGATGTTGGGCGCCGTTATGGGGCTCAACCGCAGCCACAACATTCTGCAGGGGAGAGGCAATGTCTTCAGGTACGTGCGTGTGCGTGTGCCCATGGATGAGTCGATGGGCACAAGGCAACACACACACAGAGAGAGAGAGAGAGTTGTGTGTGTTGTGTGTGTTGTGTGTTGTGTGTGTGGTCAGTCTGGCAGGTCGTGACCAGCTGTTGCGTGAGCTGGACGCCAACCCGTTGGTGGCGCACACCATACACTTCACGCCCCCAAGCACCTCCAGCGCATCGTCAGCCGCTGCTGGCCCTGCTGCTGCTGCCGCTGATGCCACACAGGTGCGCACCGAACCCGACCACCCCGTCACACAACTGAAATGCACCCCTGCGCTGTGTAATCGAATCACTCAGGCGCCGAGCTCGCCGACGCCCCTGCCGGCCGGCGTGCAGGGCACGGCCAGTCTGCACGCGCAGCAGAGCGCCACGAGCAAATTCTACAGCGAACAGCTCTTCAGGTGACTGAGGGACGGGGGGTGTGGGCATCTAGCTGTCTCCATCAATGGCCGAGTGTGTGTGTGTGTGTGTGCGTATGTGTGTGCGTAGGAGTCACCAGAAGCTGCTGGTGGACACGGCGACGGCCGAGTTTCTGTTTCTGCATGACTTCTTCTCCACGCCGGGAGGCGGGCGGGACGACCTGGCCGTCTTCAATGACGTCTTCAGCAAAACCTTCCAAGTGCGCGCGACTAACCTAACCTAACCCATCAACACAGATTAGTATGGACTCATTTGTCATTTCCCCTCTCTCTCTCTCTGTGTGTGTGTGTAGTTCTTTTACGAGACCTTAGAGGGGTCGATATCGACGTCGTACGACTCTGTGGGTCTGCTGCTGATGGCGCGCGTCAACGAGTGGAACCGGCTGACGATGCAAAGGCGGCGAGTGCCGTGCCTGGAGGGATACCTGGACCGACTACGAGTACTGACACACACACACACACACACAGAGAGAGAGAGAGAGAGACGTGTGTGTGGCCTGTGTGTGCATCCCTCTGTTGTCATTGCGTCCCTCCCTCCATCCCTCAGTCGATGCTGTGGCCGCGCTTCAAGCAGGTGGTGGACATGAATGTGCTGTCCCTCCGGCGGGCCCCCATCCAGCAGATGCTGCAGCTGCCCCCCGCACAAAAGACACACCCACACTATGTGCGTACGCCATCCAGCCATCCATCCACACACAACACACATTGGTCTGTCTGTCAGTCATGTGTGTCATGTGTTGTGTGTAGGTGACTCGTCGCTACGCCGAGATGAGCAGCGCGCTGAGTGCGTTGAGCACGCCGATCGGCGGCGGGACGCCGGACGACACTCTCACACACTCACTCACAGCCATGCAAAACGCAATGGAGACCCTTCTCGAGGTCACACAGACACCGATCCCCCCCCTCCCACACACACACACAGACATACAGAGGTGTGTGTGCAGGCCATGGCCCGTGAGTTTTCTTCTCGGCGGGATCGGCTGATCTTCCTGATCAACAACTATGACCTCATTCTTGGGGTGCTGCACGAGAAGAAACTCCAAAACGAGGCCGCCGGACGGTACACAGTACACACACACACATCCCATTTGCACACGTCTCTGTGTCTGTGTGTCGTGTGTTTGTTGGTTGATTGGTTGGCAGCTTTGACTGTCTGTTGCGCGACCAGATCAGCGTGTACGTGGAGGAGCAGCTGCTCGACTACTTCTCGGAACTCATTCGGTTCGTCAAGGAGACCGAGCCAAAGCTCAACGCAGCCGCCCCCGGCACCGCCCCCGGCACCGCCCCAGCCACAATGGTCGACCCCAAACGAGTCGAACGCATTGTAAGCAGCCCACCCACACATCTGCCCATCTGTCTGTCCATGTGAGTGTATATGTGTGTGTGTGCAGGTCAAGTCGTTCGGGGCCGAGTGGAAGCGGTCGATCGACGCCATTCACGCCAACGTGCTGAGCTCATTCACCAACTTCACCAACGGCATGGACATACTCAAACAGGCACGCCATGCCACGCCACGCCACACTGCCATAATCTACACACAATGGCCGACAGACAGACAGACGGACAGACAGACATATACACACAAAGCTCCCTCCCTCTGTTGTGTGTCATTCTTGTGTGGCCATGCATGCGATGTAGGTGTTGACTCAGCTGCTGCTGTACAACACTCGTTTCCAGAAGCTGTTCGGCCGCATTTACCCCTCTCAGGGCGGACAGCAGACGCCGCTGGTCAAGGAGCTGGTGGCCAACACGACCATCCTGAGCGAGTTCAGACAGTACACGACCCTCAAGTGACGTGACTGACGTGACAGACTGACGTCTGATAGAACGACAAAGGCTCCCTCCGCGGGGGCCATTCCATTTGTGCGTGCATGATGACGCTTTCATTCTTGACGGCTGGCCCCGCCCCTGTAGCTCCCTCCACTGCGTCACTTGAAATGTCGTATACAACACGCGCTTGAAATGGTCGGCCGTGCATTGCATTCACTTCACTGTGTGCGCTTGAAATGGTTGAGAGATACGTTCATCATCCATCCAGCCATCGTGCACGTCCGATCATTCATCCATCCAGAGTCCGTGCAGTGCACGTACACCCACTAAACAAAGCTCGTGCCAGCTGTCGGCTGTCGGTGGTCGATTCTTGTGTCACGCAAATCAACCAGCCAAAGTGAGCGTCCCCAGCGCGACAGTGAACATATTCACGCTGACCGATGAACGCAAACCTCTAGCACACTCTAAGTCAAACCCTCCCCCCTCCCCCCCCCCAACACACACAACAC